TGATCCTCCTGCCTCATGTTTAAGAGTGCAGAGATTACAGGTGTCTGCTACCATAACCAGCTCAGAATACCAGTTCTGGTGAACAACAAAATTTTTTTCCTAACGCATGATCTTACTATACAGTCCAAGAACATCTCGAACTCAATTCTTCTATCTTAGCCTTACACTTGCTGGAATTACAGGCATGTACCACTGTGCTACGAATAAACCAAAATTTGAAGGGAAGGAAAAATTTCAAAATAGCATACAACATGAATGATAAATAGGTTCAATCTAGAGATGATAAAGCATATCAAATATCTGAAGAAAGTAAAGGGTTAAAAAATAATTTAGAGGCCTCAGGGTTCACTTGTGGAGAGCTTAGCTAGCATGCATTATGTTCTGGGTTTCATTATAAGCATTATAAAAGAGAAATAAGAAAAAGTATCAGCAACCCTAAACAAATTTCATCCTTAGTGAACAAATTTTAAAAAAGATTTTACAAGACTAGTTTAGCAAGACAATCACCTATAGAATTTGTATAAATATAATTAAAAATTTAAACTTGCCAGGTGTGGTAGGACACAACTATGTATGATCCAGGAGGCCAAAGCAGGAGGCTTGAAAGCTAAGAGCCTAGCCTGGCAATTACTCTTTCACAAGAAACATTTATTTTTTTCCCTAAAAAAAGAGCTAGAGACACACACCAGTGTGAAGGTCCTAAGTTCAATTCTCCGTACCACAGACGAACAAACAAATAAGTCAGAAAACAAAAAACTAGATTGAAACTGTTAGATTTCATTTTTAGTAGCTGGAGATGAAAGGTGCAAAATTTGCGAAACTATGAATCCTAGTCTGAAACAAAAGTTTTAGAAAACACATTTCTAAAAGACTTTCAGTGAGTTATAATCTGCAGCACACAATGTTGCGATATTATTAAATACAAGCCTGCATCTTGTTTAGTTACTTGGACAGAAGTCTTTCGAGCCATGACAGTGTAGTAGACTGATGATGGCTTTAGTTACGTTTCTTTTTCCTTTTAAAAAAAATTAATTTAGTACAGGGTCTATAGGGTCTCACACCACAGATTGGACTCACAGTGATCCTTCCTGTTTTTCAGCCTTCCAAGCTCTGGGATTACAGGCCCACGTCACCAAGGATCGCATCCCAGTCACTGCATCTGCCTAAGCAGGTGCTTTAATCAGCTGAGCTGTCTGTCTCATTTTTCTGCAGACATTTCTGGGTCTTGTAGTACAGTGTAGCAGATCAGATTAGAAGAATATTTCTAGACTCAAGTATCCATTTTTAAAAACCACTACACAACTGTCCTCAATAAAAGAAAAAAGACACAAAGGCCACCGCTAACACTGGACTTTCAAGTGTGCAATGCTTTGCTTAGTGGTATATATTGCAAGTCAATGCGGCAAAACATAACGTAGAGAAGTACTGATCAAAGTAGTACTGCAGCAGGTTACCTTCAGCATTCTTCTGCAAAAGACAAACTTAAGGACATGCAAAATATTTGGGTACTATATTTTTTTCAGAATAGTACAAAAGTAGTTATTTGCAAAAAGGTGTCAAAGAAAAATAGCCAAATGTGTATACCAAGAATGCAAGTATTTTTAAGAGTTACTTGTTGTATACAATTGCTTATCATTCTACTCCATGGAAGACACTTAAACTACTGTGCATGTGATATAAGCTGAGATGCATATAAAAATTCAGTTTATTTTGTTTTACAACACTGAAAGTTGAACCCAAGGACATTCTAGCACCAAACTACATTTGGCCTTCTTAAATTCTGTTCTATACTTTGAAACAGGTACTTGATAAATTGTTCTGCAATCCTTACTTAGTCCCCTAAACTCCCAGGATTACAGCATGTGCCACCATGCCCAGCTCAGACAGAATTTTATCTTGAAAGCCAAGCACATTTTTTTTCACTCTATAAATCCAAAATTTATGGAGATTTTTTACTTAACTGATGGAATAAAGCAAAAAATAAAATATCAGAATAAAAACTGAACCTTGGCTGTTTGCCATAATTGAAAGCTCTAAAAAGTTTACTATTACTGCCCTAATCAGACAGACAGGTAAAAAAACTTCTCTCCACCAATCTTAGCTGAAAGGTACATGTATTTAACACTGAAAAAAAAAAAACATTTATCATTGCAAAAATGAAGTATGTTAACAAAAGAACAAGTTAGCAATAATTTGAAGTTATAATTTCTGTAATGTAATATTAAAGCGACAATATTATGCAATTTTAAATAAATCTCAGGTTTAGTCTTCAATCTTAAAGGCTCCTATGATGATGACATTCATCTTTTATTTTTTATTTTTTTTCATCTTTTATATTGACTATTGTTTTTTTAACATTAACTATTATGTAGTCAACCAAAATGTTGTACTTGTGCATTCTATGCTCCACACAAATGCTATACTGATGAGGGCCAGCAAGATAGTTCAGCGAGCTAAGCACCTGCTTGGGCAAGCACAGGGACTGGGGTTCAATCCCTGGCACATGCCATGCCAGCCCTGCCCCCAGGCGCACTGAGCTAGTCACTGAGACTGGTGGTACAGCAGCGGCACATGGTGGTACACGCCTGTAAACTTAGTGCTGGAGAGGTTGAAAACAGGAGGATCACTATGAGTCTGAGCTGTGTAGTGAGACCCTATACCAAATACATTAAAAAAAAAAAAAAAAATTCACAAATACTACATTGATGATTTATTTTCCTATTAACCAAATATATAACATGAAAAGTAACAGAAGCTACTGTCATACAGAAAGAGCAAATGTCATGAAGGTTCACCATCTGTTCCTCCTATATTTCCGGGGAGGGGGGGGGGCTCTGTTTTTTGGGGTGCCAGAAATTGAACTCAGGACTGCCTGGCAGACACTGTGCCACTAAGCTATATCCCCAGCCCTGTCACTCTTAAGACTATCAATAATTTAAAAATTGTAAAAAAAAAAAAAAAAAAGCCCAAAAACTAACACGCTGTCATGTTTTTTATACTTTTTAAAGCTGATTTGTGTATCAAATGTTACAGTTGGAACCAATAATTTCTCAGAATTAATTCTTACCATATGACTAGAGATGTAGAGATAAATGCACAAGATTATTGTGTTCATATTATTTAGAGAAGCCAAGAAAACTAAACATGAGAAAGATTTTTGAGCAACAATTAAGTAGCTTTTCAAAAACATTTTGAGAAGTACATGTAACAGTTTATTTGTAAAGATATTAATAAACTGTTATTAACCATATTATCTGTTGGTGACAGAATCACTGGTGTTTTTCCTAGTTTATATTTAGGTGCACAGTTTGTCACAAAAACACGTATTACTTTATGGTAAAGTTTAAAATCCACTATTTTGGGGCTGGAGAGATAGCTCAGTAACATAAGCACCTGCCAGGCAAGTACAAGGTCCTAAGTTCTAGCATGGTACATTGCCCCCCTACCAAAAAAAAACAAAAAGTAAAATCTACTATTTTGGTTTTTTGAGACAAAGTATTCCTATGTAATTTAAGCTGGCCTCAAACTTACGGTGATCCTCTCGCCTCAGCCTCCTAAGCGCAGGGATTACAGGTGTACACCATCACACCCAGGCAAAATGCATTATTTTAAAAGCTGGCTACCGAAAAAAAAAATCTACTTCACTCATATAAGAATATCATATAATTGACATGAAAATGCAAAATATACTTAAGAGGTTTTGATCATGGTTACCCACGATGTTTAGAGGGACTGTTCACATTTTGAAATCTGACACCACCACACATGGAACCAAAATATGACTCAACTCAGTGAACACAGAAATAATAAGGTGAGGATACGAACAAACAATTGGTCAATCACCTGCTTTGTTTCCATTTGTCTGTTCACAAAAGTCGAAATATGATGGTAGGTAGAACTGTTGGTTTTCACTGAAGAAATTCTTTTTACTTCAATGTTCTGGAAAATGGAATGTGAAAAAATACACATTTTAGGCTAAAGGCATTAATTTTCACCTAAAGCTGAATCCAATACAAAACTATTTTTTGAATTTTAATCAGTGCTATTGCTTGTCTTCTCCAGAACTTACACTGAAATTTAATCTCTGTCATGCTATACTAAGAAGTGGGTCCCAGGGAGACCTCTGGGAGGTGACCAGGGACCTCAGCTCACGAGTGAACTCATCCTTTCAAGTGACTGACGCATTACTGTCTCAACGGGCGACGTCCACAACCAGTGCGACCCAAGCCGTACGGCTTGGCCTCTCACTGATCCCACTATGGGCTTGGGACTCTGCCAGCAAGAAGGCGATCACCAAATGCAGCCCCTCAGCTTTGGAACAGAAACGAAAGCCAAAATACACCTCTTTTCTTTATAATTTACCTAGTCTGTGGGCATTATTACCAACAGCAAACAAATGAAGAGAATCAGTAACCTGAAATAAGCCAAAATTCTGCTCACAGTGAAATAAATCTCCTTTCCACAGTTGTTATTTACATTTTAGTGAAAATACCAAATCTAGTAATACTTCAAAATGTCTTTTACTACCTTTAATGTAATCAATCTCTCTCACTTCAGGTAAGAAGTGTACTTCAACTTCTTAAGCTATTTAAAGGCATCGTTTCTGCTCTAGGTTTTATTTGCCCATACTGGGGAATTGATCTAGGACTTCACACATGCAAGGTTAATAACTACCACTGAGCTACATCCCCAGCTCGCAAACATTTCACTTGTAAATCTGATGAATAAAGATATTGCGCTTACAGGATATTTGAGTTACTTCATTGTATTTATTGGCAAAACACACCATTATATCCCTTGTTTTTTCCTATTACTGGTGTTGAACCCAGGACCTTCACAATGAGGTATATCCACAGCCCTTTTTACTCTTAAGAGACATGGTATCACTAAGTCCCACATGGGACAAGATAGTGCGATCCCTGTGCTTCAGCCTCCTAGACTTTTGGGTTAAAGGTATGAGCCCCCATGTCCAGTTTTTTGTTTGATTTTCTGAGACAGGGGCTTTTAAGTAGCCCAGAGTGACCTCAAACTCCCAATTTTTCCACCTCAGATTGAATGTAAGAATTATAGTCATATACCATGCCTGCCTCTTAACTTTTTTCATAAGAAGTTGCAAAAAAGGGGAGAAACTGCATATTTACAAATAATTCATTCTTCCATAAGCATTCACACAAACAATATTTTGTTTGATTTTTATAAATTTTTTATCTTGGCTTCTTATGAACATTAGGATTTATGACAAAGGTAATCAAAAGGTATGAACATTAGGATTTATGACAAAGGTAATCAAAAATTTATGACATGGATAAAATACTGCCTGCCTTTTATCATCTCAGATGGTGGCGAGGGAGCGGCTGAAATAGGATTCTTCCATCTGAATCTTGCATCTCGTTACATGGCAGATGGTGCAGCATAAATGCAGGAAGGCCGACAAGATAAAAGACCTAAAGGACTGTCTGGTACTTATGTTGATCATATAGTCATAAAATATCCTTATGTAACTGAGACATTCTGTGTGTTTATTTCAAAACTTTTAAATAAAAACTGATTTTGATAATCATCTAAGTCATTTCAACAGCCATAAAAAAGGAATACTTTTAAAAATTAAAGTCAAATTCCATTTACAATAAAAATTTTCTTAAAAATGAGATCTAATCAAACATATACATTTTACTATCAGAAACAAACCTCTCTCATTACCTTATCATATTGAGTAAGGGTCTTAAATTTATCTGAATTTTAATTTCTTATAAGTATCTGCAGTGAATCAAACTCAGAATTGAGAAATATCTATAGGATAATGGTAGTTTTTTTTCCAAAT